CATGTATATATTTATATAATATATATACACACACACTCATAGAGAGCCAGCTTTCCTACAGGTCAGCACGTACAGATCACCGCCAAGAGCATTCGGACGTGGATTTTAATACTCTACCGATGTAAAAATGTAACGGCGACGTGGCAATGCATCAATAAATAGAGATCCAAAAAGAAAAAAGATAAAGCAACAGGTTAAAAAAAAAAAAAAAGATGAAATTAAATACAGATTCTAGCTGTGGATTTAAAATCAGAACTATTGGAGAATGTGGCATCTGCAAGTTACAAAAAAAATTACAAAATAAACCAGTAGCCTGTTAAGAGTTCACATTATCAACTCTGGTGTCCATTCCCTGCACACGCCTTGGGAAAGGGAAGCCTGTTCAAATCAAGAGCCAGGGAGGGGTGAGGAGAGAAAAAAAACCCAACTGAACAAGCTTCCACAGTGGCCACTTTCCAAAAAGTTCCTTAAGATCCAGCAGCTGGGCCCCAGCCCTGCCCAGGATTTTGTTCGTGCGCTCGTCTCTGCTGAAGCCGCGAGCTGTGCCCACATGGGCTCCTGGGGCAAAGCTAACCACTCGTGTTCCTGCATGTGTGTGTATTATATTATATAGCACCCGTCAGGGTGAGATTTTCCCATGTGAAACTGCAGATTTCTTCATCGCTAGCACTGATTTTTAACATTAAAGGCTTCCACTAGCAGTTCAAGCCTTAGACACAAGGCAAACTCTCCCCCCCCTTGGCAACCTATTTTTCCTACCACGTCACCTCCTTCCCCAGGCTGAGCCGAGGCAGTTCTTCAGATAACCCGGGACATGGATTTGCTGACAAGAAACGCTGAGCTCTGTTGAATGACCCCTGCTAAGCTCCCGACCAAATTCAAGCTGTGCACTACATCAAAGTCCGAAACTTCACGAAAGAAAATAAAAAAAAGAGGGTCAAAAAAAAAAAAAAAAAAGAAAAACTTCAGCAGAGAATGAGGTTTGGGGTTTTTTTTTTTTTGTTTTGCTTTTTTTCCGTCTTTCTGTTGTGGGAGGGGGTATGAGGCAAGAGTCCTGGTTCTGAAGTACACAACAGCAAACTTCCAACATGAAGAGATTGTCGAGGGGAGAGACATTGGTGTGTTGTATTGCTCCACTTTCCCTCCTCCCCCCACCTAGTCCCCTGCCCCGGACACCCTGCAGAGTGAGAATACAATGAAACTGGTTTGTATTTATAGATATTTTACAAGGTTAAATAAGAACAACAATAATAATAATAAAAAATTGAACACTAAAATGAACAGGTTGGTTGGTTTGTTTTGTTGATTGGTTTTTTTTTTTTCCTCTTTTTAATTTTCTTTCCAAATGTGACCAGTGTTGCTGAGCAAAGACTCAGATTACTGGTGATTTTTCCTGTGCAGCTGGCTGCTTGGTACTGGTTCAGGTGGAGTTGGAGGCTGATGCTGTAGCTACACTATTGGTCTGAACTCGTTCTCCTGCGTTAACATCTGCGAACAACAGACGAGAAGAAGGGAAGAGAGAAAAAAAACAACCAATATTACCTCCAAAATAGAGACACATTTGAAACAACTACTATGACATTCTCCACGCAGGGAAACCCACGACTCCCACTGAGGTGCTGTTTGGTTAGGATGCTCTCCTGACTCCAGGGCGTGCAGATGGAACAATCCAATCTGGCGAGGGGGAAGATGGTTTTTAAGCAGGACAAAGGCAACCTGGAGGGCTGAGGGCAGCAGGTTGACACTCAAAACTCTGAGCTGGGCTCTGCAGTACACAGCATTGCCTGGGGAATGGTGAGCTGCCCACCTCACGTTCCTGTAACTAACTGCAGGACAAGGCACACTCAGCATGGCCAAAGCTAATCTGTCAAAGCGTCTGTGATCGCTACAAGGTTTCACATTGCTGCTGAAGTTTCCTATTGTGAGTCCTTCCTATAACAAAGAAGCCTGTTAATTGTGTCCATGAGTGCAGACAACAAACATGACAAGCCTACTTCCCTGACAGAAATGGTTTGTGTGCTAATGTGTAATTCATGCACTTGTTGCCTCAGAAAATGTCTTTCAAGTCTACTGATTTCTTCTGTGTTGCTCAACCCAAGCTGGACCTGCCACCCTCTGAACAGCTTAAGCAGATGAATGTCAAGACTGAAGCCAGTCAGGAGGTTCATGCAAGCACAGTGTCATTAGAAGATCAGGTCTCTTCAGTAAATGGTCACCAACACCTTTTCGTCTCAGGAGGGACAACGTTTCACAGACAAGTCTGAGGATCAAGGGCATGTGTTAAGGTGTGTTCCAAAAAAACAGAGGGTTTGCAAAAAAAAAACCCAAAAGGAAATTCACTGTGACTGTGTTCACATAGCCCACATGTATCAGGTATTTTCTCTCTAAAAAACGTTCTTAGTATCAGAAAAGTTGGGAGGGGAAAAAAACCCCCACCAATTTCACCTGGAACCATTCTATGTAGTATTAAATTAGCCAAGCCAGAAAGAGACAAGCAGGTGAACATCTAAACACGTACAATATGGGATGGGAAAAAGACATTAAATGAGGTTTTCTATAAGAGACTGTCATGCATTTCACCCACTTAATTTCAGTGAGGTTAACTGCAAAGCTCTCAACAGGAATAAAACATCAGAAAGGCTTATTATCTCGGTACAGAAGAGGGCAGACTGGGCAAACAGTGAATTTGAAAACACACGTGGAAAGGGCTTATAAAGGCAACGAAGGGTTTGGGTTGGAAGTGACCTTGAAGATCATCTAGTTCCAACCCCCCTGCCATGGGCAGGGACACCTTCCACTAGACCAGGTTGCTCCAAGCCCCATCCAACCTGGCCTGGAACACTCCAATGGATGTGGCATCCACAGCTTCTCTGGGCACCTGTGCCAGTGCCTCGGCACCCCTCACAGGGAACAATTTCTTTCTAATATCTAATATAAACTTGCCCTCTTTCAGTTTGAACCTATTCCCCCTTGTCCCATCATCCCATGCCCTTACAAAAAGGCTCTCTATGGCTTTCTTGTATGCCCTGGAAGTTTGCTATATGGTCTCTCTGGAGCCTGCTCTTCTCCAGGCTTAACAGCTCTCTCACAGGAGAGCTGCTCCAGCCCCTTGATAATCTTCATCACCCTCCTCTGGGATCACTTCATCAGGTTCACATCTTCCTTATGCTGGGGGCCCTGGAGCTGGATGCAGCACTCCAGGTGGAGTCTCACCAGAGCAGAGCAGAAGGGCAGAACACCCACTCTTGACCCATGGGCCACACTGTTTTTGATGCAGTCCAGGATACAGTTGGGTTTCTGGGCTGGAAGAGCACATTGCCAGCTCGTGTCCAGCCTCTCATCAACCAACACCCTCAAGTCATTTTCCTCAGGGCTGCTTCCTCCCAGTCCATTCTCTGTCCAGCCTGTTTTTGTGCTCAGGATTGCCCTGGTGTAGGTGCAGGACCTTACTCTTGGCGCCACTGAACTTCATGAGGTTTGCATGGTCCCACCTCTCAAGCCTGTCAAGGTCCCTCTGGATGACATCCCTTCCCTCCAGCACGTCGACTGCACCACACACATGCAGTCTAGAGATGGGCAGCACTTGCTGAGTCACAAATTAAGGAACATAGACAACGGCAACAAAAATAGAAAATCGAACAAACAGCAGCATCCAGAAATACGACAAGTGGGATGAGAGGGTGATGCCTATTTGAAGAGGAAATGCTGTGAGGAGTGTGTGGGAAGAAAGGCAAATTGTCCTGTGGGCAGAGGATGCCAGACAACTTATCTGGGAGTTTCCCATTCTCTTTCTTCTCACCCAAATTAACTGCATCCCCTTCCTCATGAAGGAATGACCACCATGATAAAAAAACCCCACTCATGCAATTAAAGCACCAGGTCAGCCTGATGACAATGCTATATGGGAAGCTTAGCCTTGCAGGCAAGAGATGCCCTCCCACGTGGAGAATTTCCCAGAAGGAGGAACTCCCAAATCCCACATGCATGCAGACCAACGATGACCACAGAAATCAAAAGTGATCCAGCCAGCCAGATAATAGTTTCCACACTTAAACCTCTCACTGTGCCTGTTCTAGATTAATTTTCAAGTATGGCTAAACTCCAGTTAACGCAACATCTGCCGGCAGTGCCTGATGCAAGTGGTCCAGCTGGAGTCTGTACTGCTGGCAGATGATTTCTCTGTATGTGTACAGAAAGTGCTTGTGTTTCATTTGCTGAAATGAAATGTGCCTTTTGATCTCCATTTCCTGAAGACAGCAGAGGCTGGAATTGTTATCATTACATTGCTACTGCACAGAGGTAAAGAAAAAAGGATGAGGGGATAGAGCTACTTCACATTAACATGCTCCTTTTCTATCATCACTTTAACAGGGGAGTTCCTGGGAAATATGTATGCCACATGTTAAAAGGAAATTAGCCAGGTGATGTAGCACAAGACCATTTCCACTAGGCTTTTCACAACAAGGTATAGAAATCTCCCCAGGCTGGGAGAGTGTGCAAAGCATTGCTCAAGGCTGTGCTGGCTCCAAACCTGCAATAAAATGAGGTATTTTGACATTTCAGTTTGTTTGTTGATTCTGCATTAACAGGACGCTTAGGAACAAAGAGGGGTGTGTTCCAGCATCTCTCTGCTGAAGTGCCAGGAAAAGAGCACAACTGGAGCATGAGGTTCTCTGGACATGCACTTACTTCTCCTCACCATGAGAAATCAATATTTAGGCATAAGAGAAGAAAATCAAGGCCTTCAGCAATGCTGGTAACAGACACCTGCCTTGCAAAGCAGCAGCCTATGCCACCATGGAAGCCCTGCTGGGGAGCAAAGCTGGGAGCTGGCATGCAGCTTTCTGGTATGGGACAGACCAGTACCTGGCAGACTGCAGCTCAAGGGCAGGGCAGCCTCTTTTGTCCCCAGCTACTCACCTGACACCTCTGCCTGCATGGGCAAAGTGCCATCAGGGCTTAAGTGTCAGCCACTTCCAAAAGTTCTTTCAAACAGAGGGCAAAAGCATCTCTCACCATCGTAGAGAGACTCCTCTAATTCAGCCTGTCCCCTCTGAGGAATGCCTCAGCTTTCTTGGAGGGTACGTGACACTCCTTAGAAACCTCCCGGAAAGGAGGGATAGGGCTACAGCTCAGAGAAGGACTGAGACGCCAGCTCAGGCTGAGAAAGCCCATTAGCACTAATGCCAGCATTAGCTGGTTGGATTTGTAATGCTGACAGACTGTGCTGCTCATCTGCAAAGATACAGAAACAAAGCTACCTCCAGCCTTGGAATCCTCACAGGACAGCTGAGCAGGCAAGTGGAAGGAGGAGAAAAGTCTGGTTTTCCTATTGTGCCTGCCTGTGGATGTAGAAATCCAGGCTCTGAGCAAAACCAGCGGGCCCAAAATGTGCAAGTTTTACTCCTCTGTCATGGATTTATCCCTGTGCTCAACTTGTAGAAGCCTGAGTGAACTGTTTGCCCATCTTCTCCTGGTTATGGAAATTAGAGTTTTCCAAAATTCCTTCAATGGGAATACCACAAATGCGCTAAATCTTATTTTACGGAGCACTGTGGTCTTTTTCAACTACCATGTGCTGGCAGGTAACACCAGCTCTAATCTGTTTTGTTGCTGAAAGTTCAGGCACACCATTGCATTTGGGATTACATGGGATCAACACAGCAGGATGCCTAAGACGATGACCCCAGAATCCCTGCTGGCACAACTTCCCTGCAGATGGCAATTACGCTCTGCCCATCTTAATGCTGACTAACAGAGAGGCAACTACTGCTGCTGGCTGACCCGGGAAGAGAAACACGTAGTCACGCAAGCAAATATGCATTCAGCTTGGTGTGCCTGGTCCCCTCTCAGATGAGAAGAAACCATCCTCTTCCTCCTCCAGCCACATCAAGGCAGCATCCCCATGAATACAGCTGCACTGGTATTTTTAGTCAATGGCCAGTATAATTCACAGACAACTAGCACACCATTCTGAGCAAGGGACAATAAATCCTGTCTTCCTTTTCCTCCACTTTGCCTTAGATATGCCACTGATGTCAGAGAATTTCTCATAAACACTTAGGTGAATTTATTAATGGCAGTGCAGCAAGGCTTCATACTCCCACTGCAAAGCCAAGTTCTACCAGTACAGCGACACCAGCTTTATGCCTCAAGAAGAGAGGAAATTTACAACAAATGAATTTTGTAAACATCAAAAATTACCTACAATAACTCCCCTGCATTTAGGATCATGAACCCAGCATTGCTGTTGCATTATGTGATTCATCACCACTAGCAGTGGTGATCTAGCAGTTAACAAACACTACTTGTTTTGGACAACTTTTAAAAATGCAGATGTGTGTCATACTGGTTAGCACAAGGGCCAGCACTGTTAACGTGGTATGTTGCAAAGCCAATCTTTCCATCTCTTAACACACCACACCACTGCTAAGTCTCCTAGGAAACACTGCTTTGATAGGCTTCGGACAAATGGCTCTCTTTTCTCTAGCTATTCTCTAGCTAAGACCCTGCCTTTTGATCAAAAGCAGTGCTTTGCACCTTATCAAAAAGCTGAGATTCTGACATGGCTGCACACCCACAGGACAGCTATGAAAATGGAATAACTGCCTGCAAGCAGGTAACAGCCACCCACCTGGCTTATCTGCAGTGATGAACTAGCACACTGCACTTCAGCCTACAGGTGTGCACCTATGCCTCAAGCTTAGGGAGGAGGCAACTGTGCTGGACATAAGAGCAGATACCTGAACCTCAGTATCAGTTCTGCTAGCTAGAGAGGGACACAGTTACACATTAATAATGTGAATTACAGTAGCATATGATTTGCTTTTCCTTTTAAACTGCTTTGAGAGCTGTATTTTGTGGCATCATCACCACTCAAAAGAGTAGTTTCTGTGACTTGTACTGCTTAGTCACACAAGCAAACATTTTGCAGAAAAGTCTCCTGCCTATGGGGATGCCCTGGGTTAGGTGGGAGAACTGCTCCCACGCTGCTTTAGCAGTTCCCAAAGAACTCTACATTTACTGGGAGGTGCAGAGGGTACAGAGAAAGAAGGGACCCCTTCTATGAAAATCTCTTGCTAAGTGTAGCATCAGCATGCAAAGCACAACAGACTAAAATAACCTCAACAGGACCTAAGCCTAAAAATCACAACTGATGACATTCCCACCACCTGCTGTGAGAACCCCATGTGAGCAGGAAACTACCAACCGGCTGTGCTGCAGAAACCCAGAGCTGCCCCATCCTGAACTTCATTTCACAATTACTTTCCAAGCTGCAAGGATATTATTTTTGGTTTTGAACTAGAAATAAGAGGTCTTAGCCCAACTCAGTGCAGCACTTGCAAACAGAAGCTTTAAAAATGCTGACATCAATAAAGTGGGGTTGTTTGTGGGGGTTCTGGCTTATTCTTTTCTACTTCACATTTAGGACTTGGCCTAATGCATCTTCCCCCCATATGAACCCTTGAAAACTGCTGAGTGAGAACAGATTTCTTGACCCCATTAATTCCTCAAGATTTGTATCTTGGCAAAGAGCACTCTTTAAAAGGCATGAAAGGGACATTAAGCATATTTTTCAGAAAGGCTTGAAATAATTTTCCATGTTTGCATTTTGTAGATTTTTAATCACTTTTACTACTTTATCTGCATTTTTTTCCTCACTTGTTGTTGAGCAACAGATGCACATAAGAGGAAAACAGAGAACATAACTATTTGCAAAATACCAAGTGTATGAAACAAACATACTAAATTTGAAAACAGCAATTTTGCTTTCTCCTAAATTCAGAGCACATAAATGGTACAAGCTGTATCTTTTATCTACTGCTACTACAATTTCAGAGAGAAGCCTCATCTTTCAAACTTGGGTGCATCTGTCTGTCCCAGAGTATGAAAATGCTTTCTGTACAGCACCAGCTGGGCCAAGTGCATCAGATATCAGGTAATTGTCCAACACATCAACCAGTAAATGCTTTCCTGCACATTCCAAGAATAGCTTTTAAATTAGGCCACCTTCTCCTTATCAGCTATCTTACACTCAAGTAAGCATTCTGCACCTTGAAAGGGGTCACAGGCCTTGTCAAATGGGGCTGAAGTGCACGAAGGACACAAGTGGAAGCACACCCATTTTGCAGCCTGCCCCGGGTGTGCGTGCTGACTCAGGGCTGACTCAGAGGAAGAGTGCCATGTACTGAATCACCTCTGCCACATCCTGCAGCACCTGGGATTTTCTTTGGGAGTCTCCCAACTGATATTACCAGGCTTTTAAGCTTTCACTGGAAACAGAATGCAACAGAGTGGCTAAAGGCCAACAGTGAGCTTTTAAACGGTTTGTGACAGAAACTTGAGAGAGGCAAAAAAAAAAAAAATTCACTCAGTGCTGGCCAAAACCCAAAAGTATCTGCCTTGTGCCTGAAGATGACACAAGCAAGCTCAGTAAGAAGCAACTGCAACTACTTAGATGAGGCAGTGAGCATGCTGACTGAACTCTCTAACTAGACTTCTAAATGCTAATGCCTTTAGGGAAAAAATATCCTCTCCATCCACACTCCACGGAGGCCATGTGTACTGAGCTAGCTGCTTCTTCTCTTCCTAGGCATCACAAACTTATGCTCCAAGCCAGTATTAATTTCAGGCTGGCTGAGAGCTCAGAGATGAGTTGCAAACCAGTTCACAAGGATTGCTAAAAAATAGGCAAGATAATTTTTCTTTTTAATAGTGAAAGTCTGAGTTAGAAGGACCAACAAACTAAGCAGTCAAATGCAGAGTTTGAGTGCCCTGGGTTAGGATTTGGGTTGGTGACCACAGCTAGCACCCAAATGACCACTTACCAAGACCAAGGTTCAGGCAATACTGAAACAAACCCTTCCTCCCCATTCACTCTGAGGGCTCAGTAGAGGGAAGGGGCCTGGGCAGGGGCAGCGAGGGTGGGAGGGAGGCAGGAGGTTGCACGCTCTCACCTGAGGCCGCTGTAGCATTTGTAGGGGTTGAAGCAGCTGCTTGGTTCCGGGCATGAGCAGGGATGAGGATCGAAGCCAGAGATGGGTTACTTGACAGTTCTGGAGGGGAGGTGGAACAAACAGAGTTAGCTCATCATCCACAATGTGCCCCACATGCAGGTTCAGCTCCTAGGGTTTCCCCCTGTAACAGCAACCTCAGGCAAAACACATGCCCTTACAGCCCAAGGTCACGTTACATTTTCTTCTTTGCCAATCAGCAAGAGGAAACCACAGCAATATTTGGCAAGGCAGTCTCCAGAGCAAGACTGTCAAAACTACAGGTAGTGGTGCAAGGGAATTATTGCCTAGAGAAAGACAGTGGCTTGGGAGTCAGCAAAGAACCAGTCAAGCCTGTTCCTTCTTAAGGGCCTGATAATGCTGTTTCCTTCTGAACGCTGAAAGGATTCCCTTCTTCGCAAGTCCACCTGCAATCAGTCTCAAGGAGAAGGCTGATAACAGTGGTGCTGCTTTGGGCACTGGTTCAGCAAGCAAGCAGCTGCAACAGTTGCCCCAAGAGCTTCAGGGATTAGTTTTTTGGCTCACTCAAGCATCACTTTTTCTCAAGGACCCAGGAACCCAAGACCAATCTTTCACAGCAGTCTCCTTGAGCGAGGCCAAGAAGAGGTGACATCTCCTTTCAAAGGACAGGGAAAGACAAAAGGAATTGGTCAGCTGGGCAATTTAAATGGACAAAAAATGAGGCAACCATTCTTTCCAAAGACATTAATCAAGGAAAATGTTGTCATGTCTTTTAGGCTCCAAATCTAATATAGCTTCCATGTGTATCAGAATGAGAAATAGGCATCTTTCAGCCACAACCGTGGGAGGATTAAGGGCAACACATTCCCAACAAATGACAATCTTCTGGCACACTTTCAAGAGAATCTCGTGCCTCACAGAAGGTAGGACCAAGCCGAGACAAGACAGGTCCTGTTTGTTTCAGAAACAGGAGTGACTGGCTGTCTCTTGAGAAAGCAACATCCGGTGAAAAGGATGTGAACAGTCACCTCACGGAAGGAGACTGATGACTTTTGGAGCTCCAAGAGGTCATCTGGAGGAGAAATGAGAATAGACAGCTTTTTACATAAGACCTCCAGATAACACAGGCTGTACAGAAACCCATTCAAATCACACCATGGGTTCAGTAAGGGGGTTATGGATACAGTCTCAAATTATTTGGGCCCATTTTTAGGAGCCTATTGCTTTTCTTTGACGCTAGCTTTAAACTCAGGGTCTAAAGGGATCAGTAGTCTACTTGGTGATTTTTTTCCTCAGCTAACTGTTACATGAAGTTTCTTTACTGTTGGGAGGGCAAGATGCAGAAGACTCCGTGGTTACAAGCCTCCGATCAGACATTTTGAGACTAGGTTTCATCACTTCAGAACACAAACAAGTTGCTACATTACCTGCAACCCATCGAATCTATCTGCAATGCTCCGTTCAGGTCTAAGCAGATCTAGCTAGTCCTTCTAGAAAGCCTCAAATACTCTCAGCACTTGTACAAATACAAATCCTCAAATTCACGTGGGAATAATTCTGAATTCGTATATTCGTAATGTTGCACAGAATTTACAAATTTCCATTTTAAATGGAAAAATAAATTGAAGAAACATGAATTCTTAAGTGTCACAGTGGAACACCAATAATAAACCTATAATTTAATACTATCTTGGGTATTAGCTGCTCCATGCTAGAAAATGTTGCTCCTTTAATATGTTTTTCAAATCTCTTTCTCAAATATGTTACTACTGGGAATCTGCTCATCACTGGAAACAAGATGGGGCTGTGACCCAAACAAAGCAGAGCTAAAATTGACAAGGAAACCAAATGACATCTGCTAGTTTTGGGTGCTATGCAGTGCCCCAAGAATGCAGCTACAGACTGTCAACTTTGCCATGGCCAAAGAACCAGCTGACGGGTCAGAATGACATCCCTGCAAGGGCACTTTGACCCCATTCTCATTCCTCCCTCATCTAATGTTGTCAGAACATCTCCTTTTGCACACCAATTATGGCAATAATACTGGCTTTTTTGCTGTGATCAGTGCAAGTGCAACCATTTCTCTGAAGCTACCTTACAGAAATTTCATAGACTTGCTCCCTTCTCCTCAAACCCCGTATCTTTCTTGGTATAAAATTCTTAAATTTGTTTTCTTAAATTCAGCCCTGAACGTCTTGACACTTATGAGGAGTAGGTCAATTTAGACAAGAAGCAACCAGAGTAAATTGAACTCTCTGGGTTGAAGTTTAATAGCAGCATTGCTTGAGAACTTGTTCGAATTTTTGTGACATCTTTTTGCACCTGTCCCATCTCTAAGGATGAAACATGGCAATACTGAGGAGAAAAGCTTGACCTACAGTATCTGCAGTCTATGAAGTACTGAGAATCTCTGTCCTCAGTGATTTCCCACACAGTATTTGGACAAGCTGTTGAAATGTAGCCTAGTTATCTAAATCAAATGTGCAACTCAACATTGGGTTAATTACAACCAATACTGTTGCAAGAAGCTACTGTAATCAAGGCAATCCAGACAAAGTTTTCAGTAGCATGATGTGAACAGAGCAGCTATCCAAATTCATTTATGAGCCTCAACTCCCATTCACATTAGCTAGGAGAACCCCTTTGGCTTTCTCCTGATCAAATCATACCATTTGTAGCCAGTTAACATCTCCAGTAAGGAGCAGG